CCCTTGGAAACCCCAGAGGAAAAGAGATGCTGGCGAAATGGATCGATGGCCCAGCAAAATAGTGAGACAACTGTGCACAAGGAGGAACAAGGACCAGAAAGAAATCCAGTGATGAAGATGACTGGGAGCTAGAACAAGGAGAGGGAGAACAAAGATACTTAATACTTACTTTTATACTGTTTATTTGACTGTGCTGTGATTGGCTCTCCTCCATCCCCCATCTACCAGAATCTTCAGTGGCACGTGTGTTAATTGTCTTAATGGTTCTTTGTAGATCATTAAAGGAAAGGGAAGAGAGTTGCATAATATAGGGTGGAGGGAAGGGAAGAGACACAGGAAATAAGACACAGAGCAGAGGTGGAGAATTCCAAGTAAGCAAGAAAGAAGGCTGATCTAAGCCCCTGAACTTCATGCCAAGGAATCTTTGGAAAGATTTGGAGCAGTAGATCATACGAGACGGGGTTTGAGGAAGTTAAAAAACATATTAAAGAGAAAGATAACCCCAAAATTTGGAGGTCTGGGGACACCCAGGAGGCCATCATGTGCATTACACACTATTGACACCAGGCATGAAGAACAAATGAAGAGCTCTAAGGATGTTTCTATGTCTTCCAGTGGACTCTGAGATTCATTATCTACCTCTTTAAACATGCATCTCTCTAGCCATCTATCTACCACTGATTTTATCTAAGTTGTTCACTCCCAATTTTCCTCAGTATCACTCTCTAATTCCTTCAAACTTTGAATGGTTTCCTCAATGTTGGAGATGATTTCTTTTCTAGTTAATAACAGGGGTAGAATTAGCAAACACTAACGCAATATGTGGCCACACCAACCTAAAATCAACAAAACACACAAATTTCATGTAAGCAGGGAAACTGCTGTTTCCCTCTTTGGTGGTGTCAAGAAGTTGCTTACCAAAGGTCTAGGAGATAGCCTATGTGAGTTCTTCCGTAACCCTTGGGGTGATGAGGACAACTGCCATCCCAGGTCAGCTCCAGAGCTACCCTTGGGTTTGGAGGAGTTCAGCTGTCAGCACTCATGGACAATCAACCAAGCTGGAGTCTGAACAGAGGCTCTGGCCCCACGAGCCCAGTGTCCCCATTCATCTCTTCCTCCTGTGTGCTCCTCAATGTCAATTCTAATTTCCTCCACCAGGAATTTTTGATTATTCCAGTGGCCTGCCAGACAAACTCTTGTGATTTCTCATGACTTACGGGCCTCTATGCAGTGCCTCATGTTGCAAGAATTGGCTTCATTTTATACTTTTAAGATACTCAAGTAACTTCAATTTCTTCTCACTTAGAAGAGTCACAAGATTTATTTTTAAATTTTGGAATGTAAAAGAAGTATTTGGAAATGAAATATAAGGCTACAAAGAACACTGAGGACTTAATTTAGCATCCCCCTTTCCACCTCCGCAATTAATCATATTTCATGTAAACAGTCATTATGTTTTAAAGTCATAAAATATTAAGTAAACACAGATGATAAGCACTATCTGAGCGTGAAATAAGAAATAGACCTGCCCATAACTCCCACACCAAAAGTGAGCTCATCTTTCCCCTAAGGCACCCAGGTAAATTAAAGCTCCAGAGCTTCTGTGAAATATACAATAATGAAAAGAAAATGCACAGGCTTAAAAAGAAATAATGATAATAATAATAAAACACCGCTTGCAGGAAAAATAAATGAGAGGCAGAAAATGAAACAGGTCTCCAAAAGTAATTCCTTAAGACTCTCATGTCTGTTCTCCTAAAATAAAATATATCAAATAAAATCTAAATTCTTCCTGCTTGTCTGTGCTGTACACACGTAGTTCATTAGCAAAGGGGATGGAGTCCCTGGAAACGGAAGCATCAACTGAGTGAGAAGTTTCCTGGTCCTTATAACGTTACCCCTGTGAAGAAATTTCTTGACCTCTCCCACCGCCCATCACTGTCCATTCTCTGACCCTAGCAGCGGTTGCTTTCAGCTTCCACTTGTTACAATGCTGCAGTCAGGTTCATGATGTCCCCAGCAATGTCAAGGACTAGCCTCCGGATCTGATTATCTGCTAATCTTTACTTCTGTTCCTCGGATGTTTCCTTGAAAGGGCTTTGAGTCTCTCGTCTGAAACCGAAATCCACCATGAGACTCTTGCTTTGTTTCCTGTGGCAGGCCCAGTTCTATCACTTGCACTCCTTTTTGTCAGCCTGCATGAGTCAAAGCTGTTCACCAGAACAAAGAATAAATGGCAGGAAAGGGTACTCAAAGAAAGAAATCATGCATCTTTTCAGAAAACTCACCGATTTGAAGAAATTACCAAAATTGTTTTCAATCGTTCTTACTAGATAAGAGTATATGGTCACCCTCAGAACTTAGCAAAAACGTATCTACTAAAGCTGGATTTATATATATGCAATTTCAGTAAAACTGAGAATCAGCACTATGCAAAGTGGAATTAAATAGAGTGTGTGGGGTGAAAGGCAACCGTTTTAAAAAGGTGTCAGACCTCAAACCAGGTAAAGAGTTGTCAAAAAGTGGAGCACCAAAAGGTATGAACTAAAAGATCAGAGATGGTGGCTGGAAAGTAAAATCTTAAAACTGAGATTTTAGAAGTCGATGTGATTACTGGTAATGGCAAAACCTCAAAGTATAGCTATAGGAGTAGGCGGCAAAGTAGGGTGGAGACAGGGTCATTGGAGGAAAGGTGATGGAGAAGCTGAAAAGGTGAGTCTGGAAAGGTTACACACGAGGATGTTAAAATCACCAAGCATTTTGGCGGTGTAGCATAAAAGGGGCTGATTGTGAGCCAGGAGCTAGAACCATCTAGGACAGATGGGAAGTGTCCTGCAGTTGGAGGACTATAGATCACACAGGAAGTTGAAGAGAATATTTAAAGAAGATGTTTGAGAATATAGGGGGTTTTGTTAATGATTGACTATGAGTTTCAGAGGACAAAACATAAGTGTTTTTAAGTGTTTTGTTATTTGGGGGTGGGAGAAGATAGGGAGATGGGAGAAGGGATCCAGACATATGGGAAGAATCTGGAGGATGAAGGTTGACTAGGGAGCCTGGGCTTCTCACAGTGACCACATAACATAGGGATCAAAGGCCTAATGAGATTGTACAGATATTAGAAGTGAGGCAGTGGGTTTCTCCAGGGCTCCCTTGTCACTCTTGCCAGTGGAAGTACAGAGGCCAGGAGAAAGCTGTCTTAAGCCAAGCACAGATAACTCTGGAGATTTCTTTCTAATCCTCCACCACCTCCACCATCCATTGTTCCCAGTCCCTATAAAGGGATAGCAAACAGGTTTCATTTTTCTTTGGTCAGGGTATGACTGCCTGGAGCAAGGGGATATGCAGAACTTCAAGGCCACATTCAGATTCAGGAGAAAAGGAAATGGCCACCTCTATGCCAGTACCTGCCTTCCCTAGTTTAACGTGATCCCCAAAGCTCAGTTCAATTCCTAGCTCTCCATCCCACTTCCCACTTGTCAACCTGCTTCCTAGCCACTTAGGACTTTTACATACATCACTGCACTTCAGGCTGCAACTTCAAATCTTCCTGAGGGTCCTCTCGGCAGCCTGCTGTGCTCTTCTGCTAGTGAACATCAAGTCTTTGTGTCCAGATAAGACCTCGCTCCCGAGCACTAGAAACTAGTCTGCAATTGCCTTCTGAGATTGGAGCATATCAGATGTGCTCATCAATCTTCCCCTGTCCATGCCACCCTAATCTGTGCCTCTCCCATCCCAGTTAGTTTATCTCCATTCACCCAAGTCATCCTCAACTCCTCCTTCCCCCTACATCTTATCAGTCACTCATTCCCACCTGCTTAGTCTCTGAAATTCCTTAAATCTGCTCCTTGTCCTCCTTCCCCACTGCCTCAGCCTTGTTCACAGCTTCTCTCAAGGACACTTGAGAAGTAGGCTCCACCCAAATCTCTCTCCCACAGCCATCAGTGACCTTTGTGAAACATGACTGTTTCTTCCTTCCTTAAAAGGCTTTAAGCTGTTAACCCTTGAAACATAACATTGCGCACGTTTGTTCAGGTGCCTTCTTCTCCCATTAGACTATGACTGCCACCAAGGCAGGACTGTACGCTTCCTTTATTTTGAATTTCCAGTAATTGCCTGGAGATGGAGAACATACTCAATAAATGTGAAGTGAAGTAATGCTAGCAGGCAGAGGAAAAGTATAAAAGGTAACCCAATTTTAAAGACATTCTTTCAGGAAAGCTGACGTGAGATCATTTTGTACAACTCTTGCTACAGCTCACTCATCTCTGCTCTTACCATAAATAGCAAATGAACAAAAACAGTTTTAACTTGACAATTAAAAGATATATCAGGGGTGGCAATGGGGTCTTAATACGAATTTTTCTTATTTTGGACCCTGGTTTCACCATTTTCCAGGTATGTAACCCTGCATGAGTTATTAACCTCTGGCCTCAGTTTCATCACTTATAAACTGGAGATAATAACAGTAACTAATTTAAATGCCTATTATGGAAATTAAATGAGGTCGTGTATGAAAAATGTGTTGGAATAGGAAATGTTCAATAAATAATAGCTGAGGTAGTTACTCTGAAAGAGGTTTCCCTATGATTTATTTATAGATAACCAGAAACATTATTGCTATTAGACAATGGAAAACATGTGTGCATTTTCTAGAATGGGCAGAACATATCTTGATTTCCTCCATAGAGTCCAGACTATACACAGCCTCTGAAGGAGATTGGGAGTTTTTGTTGCTGGTCTCCCCAGCTTTTCTCTCTCCCAGGATTTGCTACCCCTCTGTCCTCTCCAACCAGGGACCAACTGCTCTTGGAAAAGAGGTAGTAAATGCTACAACTCTCTGTAGAAAGAGGCTTGGGTCTAGTGGGCGACCTGGTTGACTTCCAACATTATCTCCAACAAAACTGCTTTTTCAAATGTCCTAGAGATACATCGACACAGCTGAAAAAGCTTACTCGTGTTTTTTTTTTTTAACTTACCCAGTGTTGTTTTTCTTTTAGCATCGTAAGAAAATTTAAAGTTATCCAATATCTCTGCTTTCTTCACAGACAAGAACATCAGGATGCAAACACAGGTTCCACTTGTTCCTCTTTCTTGTTCTTATCTAGAATTTAAAAAACTCATTCATTTTAAATTTGAATTCCATTACTGGACCACTCCTCCTGTAATAAACCAGGAATAATTATTTTTTACAAAATGTGTAATTATTTTGTGACTAACACATTACAACACTATTTTACATTTGTTGTTTTTGACCTCTACAAACAGCAAGTTCATATTGTTTAACCTAATACTTGAAGAATGTTAATTTGTTGACTATAAATAATTTAAAATATATACAACCATTTTTCTGTTATTTTATGGCATTTCTTCACTTTTTTACGTATTGGAATTCTCAGGAAGTGGCTTGGTTATGGGGAGGTCTCCTTTACCCTCCAAGAACCCCTAGAGTGAAGCATCTACAAAGCAAATCTTTCTTTTGCTTACTGATAACAGTCATCTTTTATAACATCTCTCCATGTAGTTTTGTGTTAAAAGATCTAAGAATCTGCTTCCTTTTTTTAAAAAAAGAGGTAAGGAAATGAGGGAAATAAAAAGGATGTGGAGGGACCAACTCCCCAACATATATTACATAAAATGACAATAATCATGAAAAACCTATTTCACAAATTACTGAGAATATAACACATGATAATATACTGCAAAGAAGTTTAAAGAGTTAAATGTACAATTATGAAAGGCAGTCCACTTATGTACTCCAAAAAGCATTTTTGGTCAATGAATGCTTTGTCTCTGGTCCATGGTGAGATAAGTATGAAAATTTGAAAGTAAGCATTTAGCAACTGTTATTGAAATTTACAACATAATTTTACATCTGTTGAATCAAATAATAAAAAATTCGGGTTTGTTTTTTTCATGCCTCATTTTTTACTTCATTTTCTAGTAATTCATTTTCATTGTACTTTACAAAGGCAAAGAAAACTGTCCTTCACATGCAGTTTGAGAAGCATGGATAAAAGCTATTATTATTTCTGAAATTTTGCTTAACAACCATTGATTTCTAATTATAAACTAGTTATATGTTATTATTTGAGCAATATTGTTTTCATACCAAGTGTAAGGAGCTGCCAGTCTACAAACAAGTTCCAAAACAAATCTGTTTGTATTGGGTAACTTGGCTATTTGTTTCTCCCATGAAATACATAAGTGTGGGGTTAGGTTCTTGGTGTAGGTTATAAATCCCAGTTATCTCAAAAGATTGCTAAACTGTACTATAAAATACAATCACCCATATATACTATAAAATGTCATGGCCAGTCTTCTCCATCCTCCTACAGTGGAGAAATTAGGGTTCTGATTTCCAAATCAGAAAATGTATCTCTTCCCCACCTATCTGTCAGTAAAGGTGCTTCCTAGCCCAGGCATGGCAGTAGAGATGGGGATGAGAATGGGGCTATCTTTGCAGAAGTTGCTTCCAGGGCAACCAACACTCAGAGAACGAGTAATGGAGCTATAGTACGCTTCACAGAGTATAGGGGAATTAGAAGATCAAGTTTGATAAACTCACTGATCAAGTTAATAAAATTAAACTGAGATTTAATTCATCTCCAAGTGTTTTTTTCTGAGACTGAGGTTTGGAAGGTTTTACCAGACTTGAATGCCTGCTTTTTACCACAAATGCCTCCATACCAAGCCCCAGGCATTGGTCTCCTTGGTGCCCAAGATGGTGAGTAGGCTTCATCCTCAATTGAGATCTGTCATGGCTACCTCAGGGACTTTAATTTTTCTTCTGCTGTTTTCTGAAAAGATTTGAGGACAAGCCTAGGTTTAGTGAGAAACATTGGTAGAGTCAATTAATGACATCTGCCACAGGCCAGGTAAGAAGGGAGAGTCAGCAGAAGAGCTGTGTTTTGCTATCCTGAGTACATCCTGAAAGAAACAGACTTTTAACCCTTTAATTTCAGCTGAAACCAGGCTGAATTTTTAAGAACATGACTTTTTAAGAAGTCTAGGAATAGCAAAAGGGAAACAGGACACAATAAGGTAATCTTATTTACAATTCATGGTTCCTCATGTTGTGACACATGTGGAAGACACTGGAGCCTAGTTCCTGACCTAGAGTCCACAAGGCATAGTTTTATGTACTGGTCACTATCCAGAAGTCTTGGAACAAGACTCTCAGGTCTAAGACAGAAGCCCTGGTGATAGTCCCAAGACCTTTCTTTTAGGTGCTCATTATAAATTCTGATTTCATATGTGAGATTCTTCTTTTCCCCAAAGATTGACATTAAAAAAATTCCTAGAGAAGAGATCTCATCCATATGTACCAAGTCATAGCGTAACTAGTGAAATTCTTAACTGAAGTGGTCCGTGGATAGAACTCCAGAAGGTTCATGGCCTTGACGACCTTGAACGAGGAAAAAAAAAACTTGATTTCCAATGGAATTTAGCATTTCCTTCAATTATGAAAGTAGAAAACAAACCTCAGAAGCATTAGCAATGCTTGTGACTTTGTTACTAATGGAAATAACAGTTATTTTCATTACTTCATTACAGTCTTGCAGATTCCTTGAAATAACATTTAGACTCATCACTATTTGAAAGAATGGTGCTAGAAATTGTTATTTAATGTGTTAATAATGTAGCATATATTAAACTGCTACATTACTATACTACAAACTTTTAAAAGAATATTTTGATGATTGATTTTGAATATAATTGGTCTCCTTTGCAATCCTATGCCTTTTCTTCTATGCAGTTATAAATGCTATTCTGAGAAGGTTATCTGTAGGTTCACTACTGCCAGAGGGTCCATGACACAGAAGGTAAGCCTCCTGGGCTTTCGAAGGACAACTATTTTGCTCTCTGTCTACCATGCAATATAACCTAATATCCCTTAGGACCAGATCAGAGACACACACATACAGAAGCAGAGCGGTCGTTTTTTTTTTTTTTCTCCCCTTTTTCTGGGTACAGAGCAGGTAAGAAACTGGCATCTGCTTTTATTTACTGTTTGTTTATAAACTGATGTTTGTTGAAAACTGCAATTGTGACCATTTCTGCCTACATACTGTAGAGTGGCAATTAAGTACTGGCAACTATCAGAAGCTTATTTCAGCCATACTCATTTATTGTAATTGTCTCAATCTTAATGGGGAAGTTTCTTTCACAGTTCTCTCTTTATTCATATCATGGTTGTTAAATTTAAAGAGACTTGTTTGTTTGTTTGTTTGTTTGTTTGTTGTTTGTTTTTTGCTCTTATCCCCATAAACTGAATTTAAATTAAAAACAGCGTCCAAGCTTTTAGGTCTCTAGTCTAGATGAAGCATCACTTAGAAACAGGATGTTTCCTTCCTCCTATCTACATCCTGTTATAAAAAGCAGTGATTCCAACATGACTTGTACAAGACATGACCCAGTATTTTTTCTTGTAATTTAAAAACAAAAAAACACTTAAAAACTGTCCTCCCGAAATTTCATACCAGACTACGGCGTAAGGAATGTCTCTGACGTTTAGAGAACTGAGAAAGGCATGCGGGCTGCTGGAGATGCCTGTGAGGTTGTCTGCTTGCAAAAGGGAGTGAAGGAATTCAAAGTGTCACACCCTGAGCGTAATGTGGCGTGAGAAGTCAGCTCCCCGTCCAGGCAAGGTGTCAGAAGAGGTAGGTTTGTGGTGACAAAGGCCAAGGCCCGGGCCGAGGGCGGAGCCGCCGCGGCCGGGAGCTGGAGCCCGGCTCGCCCGCCTCGGGGCGGAGCGCTGCCCGCGAGACCGAGCGGGACCGCAGGCGCCGCCCACAGTGCTCCCCGGCCCGGCCGAGACAGGCGGCGGGGCTCCCGCGCGATGGGGCGACTGCTGGCTCTGAGCTTGCTGGGGATAGCCGTGGCGCTCCTGGGCGAGAGGTTCCTGGCGCTCAGGTAGGTAGGGGGCCCTCT